TGCCATGACTGCTCATACTGCAGTACACTGACCTCAGACGCTTCCAGTGACCACATCAGCACCTTTCGTTTGCTTCACCTCTGCTTCCAATTTATTATTATAGCAGTATTTATTTGAGATATACATTTCTAGATCCTTTTTTGGATTCACATTTCCTGTCATTGTCTGTTGTAGTGTGCTTGGTTATTGCTGGTTTATTTACAGTGTAAAAATTTTTTGTCATGTACCCTAATATTAGAACATCTAAATGAACTGATTTTATTCAAGTCAAGAAGATTTATTTATTATTCATTAGAGATGCACCGATCGATCGGCCAGGGATCGGAATCGGACGATTTTCCTCATGATCGGCCCAGATTGTGACCGGCCAATCCGTTTTGTTACCAGCGGCACAGGCAATAACATCAGCCGCACATTCTCGATCTCATCTCTCTGACGACCCCTTCTCTCTCACACACGTCTCATTCGCTCCGGTTAAATAGTGCTTGTATTGCGCATTATTTTAGTCATTCCCGCAGGTTTCACGCTTACACCAAACGCACGCGCACCACCACTGATCAATATTAGTGGAGCGCACAAGCCACACTCCGTCTCAAACAGCTTGTGAGCCACAAATACCAAAATGAGTGGCTAACTGCGCTAAAATGTCCAAATACATACAAAATTATAATTTAATTTTTACAGTGAAGACTACAGAAATTAAAGTAATCAAATGTAAAATAACACTGGATGTGTTATTACTTACTTGACCTGAAAAACTTTGTTTCATAGCTCTCTTTATTCTATTGCATTTATTTGTGCTGTTGTTTGCAATTTATTTATTTGTTCTTATTTTATTACTGACTTTTTACTAGTGTTTTTTTAATGAAAATAAAACTTTGCGTTGAATAAAAGTAGATTTTTGTTTGTATATGCTGTCAGTTATAGTTCTTAGAAAGAAAATCGGAATCGGCAAAAATCGGTATCGGAATCGACCAAGAAAATTGCAATCGGTGCATCTCTATTATTCCTGTATTAATGTGACTACAGTAGATTACACCAATTAAAGGAGATAAGCAAATAACCTGGATTTATTTGTTTTTCAATTCTGACTATTTTTTATTAAATTATTGTTTATTTTAAATAGTAGTTATCCCCTTGTTCTGTTTTGATTATTTAAAAAAATAGAGCTTTTTAAAAAAAACAGGTAGACACATCAGTATAGATTTATAATATTTGCAATGATGTTGATTATTATGGAGAGATTTAGAAGAGATAAATCTTTATAAATAAATATTATCATAAAATACTTTGTGGAATGTTGCATTAATAAAATTACTATGCAATGTAGGCATAAATAAATAAATACATTTAGTAAATGCATAAATGTAATTTTACTGACTTTTCATTATGCATATTTATTGAATGCAACATCATTTTATGATATATTGAATCCGCTATATTTTGCTTCAAGGTGTGCAGTTTATTTTGTATTTTGTGTGTTTTATTTTTAGGGCTATTTAATGTGGTATTTTGCATACATTTTAATTTACATTTTAAATAATTATTTATTAATTTTTGCATTTCATTGTACATGTATCTATTGCAACATTCCATGACATAGTTAAAAAATATATATTATTATATTAATTTAGTCTGTTAAATACCTTTATAGACTATTGTACATGTTTCCGCCATATTGGTGCATCCCTTATAAATATAACTTTAATAATATGCTCGAACAACAATTTATATATTGCTTTGAATCAAATCGTCATAGATTTAAAGTCTGATAGTCTTATATAAGAATAGTATGTTTGATGAGTGTTATTCTCCTGCAGTGACTCACAGTCAGATGAGTTCAGTCACTGTTTATCATGACGTGTTTTCTCACAGAGTTTGTGTTTTTGTTTTTAAAGCATGAAAGAGAGGCTATGTGATCGGGGGAATCCCCTAGTGCATGATGGGATATTGGAGGACTGTGGGCAGGGTCAGTATTAGGTCATCTCCATCCAGTTACTTTCAGTCATTCTAGTCTCTCAGGAAGAATAAAAATGGAATGTGAAATACTTCATTTGTGTTCCAGTATGTCTCATTTCCTGTAATCATCAGAGGCTTGTGTCACTCCAAACGTTTCTGTGTAATACCTTTCAGACAAGGGCGTTAAAAACAGTTCTGAGGGGGTGAAAAAACACTTCACTTCCACTCTTTCAAATGAGACTTTTCTCTTTTCAGTTGACTGTGAGAAGCATTTGTCTGATGCACAGTATATTGGTTTTATCCACATGACTGCTTAATTGAACATTTTATTAAAATAAATAAAAAAATTAAAAAAAAAACTTTTTAATATATATTTTTTTCCACTCATTCCAGTCCTCATAAGAGTAATATCCAGTCATTTTAACACTAATTTATAACACTATTGTTTTATTTATTTTGTTTTTTATTTTCACTCATTTCAGTCTACATAATAATATTTTTAACATTATTATTTATTTGTTTGTTTGTGTGTTTGTTTTCACTCGTTGGAATAATATCCAATCTTAATTAACACTTATTTTATTCTGTTTTATTCTGCTCTTATAAGAATAATATCCAACATATGTATTTATTTATTTTCACTCTTTCCAGCCCACATAATAATAATGTCCAATCATAATTAACACTTATGTATAACACTGATTTTATTATATTCTATTTTATTTCATTTCAGCCCTTGTAAGAATAATATCGAATCATTTTTAACACTGGTTTATAACACTTTTATTTATTTATTTATTTTATACTTATTTATAACACTATCTCATTTTATTCTTGGGGTTTATGCTGTTCAGGAAAATGTGTAGTTCATTTCTATTGTAAAGCTTGTTTGAGTTGGTAATGAACTAAGGGAGGTGGATCTTGTAATTTATTGCTGCACTCAGTAGAGGGTGCTCTTTTTCATCCATAACAAGCCAGCTACCTGTTTTCCTACTGACAGAAAAACAGTGACACCCAGAATGTGTTTACATTCAAACTAAAGTTCTGTTTTCTAGTAACACCTGACCTTAGCAGGAGCATTAACATTGTTAGTTAAGCCTAAAATATAGTCTCTCTTTCTGTCTGTCTCCAGACCACTCCAGCTCCAGCGGCACATTGTCTTTCCAGCCTCTGCGCTCGCAAGGTCCCATCCCCACGGCCCACGTCATGCCATCTCCGTCCAGCTCCAAACTCAGCGTGCCCTCTGCCCCCACCAGCCCCTGGAGTAGCTGCCAGCTCCCTTCTCCCCTCGACAGCCCCCTGGACATGAAAGACCCCCGGCCGGTGCGCCGCTGGTCCTCCCTCACCCGTCTTACCGGCCAGGAAAAGTCCACCCCTCCCGGGAGACCGTCGTACCGCATGGACCCACACGGATCCCTGGATCGAGGTGTGCTCTACGGCTACCGACAGGACCCTCTTTATTCAGACGGCTTTCTCTCTGAGAGCCTGCACAAACTTTCCACCAACTCTGACTTTACGAAGTACGACCTGGGCAGCAGTAACACCTTGGGGAAAACGGACTCATCTTGCTCCTCTCCGCTCAAGCCCAGCACGTTAGACCTCACCTACAGTGCCTTACCAGAGAGCAAGACGCCCACCATCGGCCTGGCCGGGCCCGGGCAGAGAGGTCCCACGCTCAGGCACCAGACCGTGGGAGGGTCGCCCATCCAGCCGGCTGTAAGGACTCAGATGTGGCTGAGCGAGCAGATGGAGTACCGGCCGGGACCGGAGGGATGCGGCTCGTGGCAGCAGGAACAGCAGCAGCGAGAGCGACTACGACAGGAAGCGGAACTCCCACAGGTCAGTTTGCAATTGCTTTGACAGGGAAATGCAAAGATGGAGAAATGTTTTATAAAAGTTGGTTCACAGCGCCTTCTGCTGGACAGACGGTGGTAGGTGAATTGTCCTGTTTACAGCAAATAAGCAGCAGCGAGAGCGACTACGACAGGAAGCGGAACTCCCACAGGTCAGTTTGCAATTGCTTTGACAGGGAATGCAAAGATGGAGAAATGTTTTATAAAAGTTGGTTCACAGCGCCTTCTGCTGGACAGACGGTGGTAGGTGAATTGTCCTGTTTACAGCAAATATGCTTCATTTATCAGACTCAGAAACAGAAGTGTTTTTTTTTTTAAATACAACTTGTGTTTAAGGGATGTTTCAGATAACATCCACACCAGTAATATTTGAGTATTAATTATATACTATTATCGCATGTATTAATTATTACTAGTCATTATTAAATTATTTTTTTTAGTTTTTGTTTTAATTTCATTTTAGTTCAGGTTTTATTTTTTGTTATACTTTTGTAATTTTTATATTTTATGCATTTAATAGTCGAATAAAGTCGACGAATCGCCACAGCCCTACTTACCAGAATGGAGCCTGGTAGTTGGAGGGGTTGAAGAGTAAGATGGATTCTTGACGTCAAACGATAATAAAAGTCATTTCAGAGACAGAACAAGGTTATGATTGAAATAATGTGCAAATAATAATTGAATAACGGTTCAATCATGCCCAATATGACCATGAGCATGCATTAAGAAAGTAGATTAGATTGATTTCATGTTGATATGGTCTCCTGTGCCGGGTGTCTGTTTTTGGTAAAGACCAAGTGTTTGTTCCAAATGGACTCTGCAGGACTTCAATATTTGCTGATATCTTTCATATTCTTTGCTTGAGACTCAAGATGTCTTATTCAGCTCACAAAGAGACACATATTGTTATCAGTGTAAGTGTTTTATTCGCAGCACTTGCTTTTATTGTCTTATTTCTCAAATGCCTGCACTGCACAGTAATTCCTTCCCATATATGAGTACAAGTATTTCATAGATATATTCACACAGATTTGAACAAGAACTTAGTGATTGCAGAAAATAATATATAAAGAGTACATTGATCATATAATAGGCAAACCAGTGCGTATTCTTATTAAAACCATGACTGTGTCCTTCAATTTATTATTAGGAGTACATCCACAGCTCTTTTTTTTATATTATTTTTTTTTGCAGGAAAATACAGATTTTTAATAGTGTCACTGTCAGTGGTGTGCGGTGTGATTTGAGTGCTCATCTATATTTTCATCGAATATTTAATTCATTTGACCATGTACTTGAATCCAAACCTGCTGTTCACAGAAAAAGTTCTAATTTTGATCTAAATTCCATTGTTTTGGAATTGTTGTTGGTTTTGAGATGTAAGAGGCAGCAACCACTAGAGGGCGCAGTGACACTTTGTTTTTGGTAACTACTATGTACCAGCATTTTTGATCAGTTTTTAGCATATACCTTACTCCTCCATTAAGATCTAGCAAAGCGTGTATCATACGCTAAAGTTGTTAACTGATGTTTTTAACACCAGGCTTTCAAAACGTCCCTACTATCTGATTCAAATGAGTGAAATATGTGCCCTGAGAAAGTCTCTGTGACAGTGAAAAACAAAATTATAAAGGGGAAAAGTCTACATCAGAAAATCAGCCAATCAGAAACATTCTCGGCCTGTCAATCATTTTGCACAGGTTCTTCTGGTCATGTAAGGAACCTTAAATTGGTTTTGGAGGTAGAGAGCGTAGAAGTCTCTGAAACATACGTCCCTCTTATACCAATAATTCTTGTTTCTGACCATTTCGGGTCACATGAGCTTGACCAGAATCAGCATGAGCAGTAGAGCCACAACAATAAGCAGGAAGTTGAGCAGCAGGTTTAGTCCTCGGTTATTGATCAGATCCATAGTGATGGGATGGAGATTTCCTGGGTCGTTCAGCTGTGTGGAAGTGTATCCTGAGTGTGATCGGCCCCAATTGGAGGTTCTTCTTGTTTGCCAGTGAAAAGGAGGATGAGCAGGTTACATCACACTGGTCTCTCACATGCCGTGGAAAGAGCTAAACATGATTGACAGACTGACATGAGCTTTTCTGATAAGACAGAGTCATATAAACAAACAATAACTGGTTCTCTTAAGGGATAGTTCACCCAAAAAGGAAAAGCTTTGGGTTTGAGACTTTAGTCTTTGCAACTTCAGGGATCTTATCTATGCACAATCAGCTTGTAACACTCCAAAGAGAAATGAAAACTTGAAATTGCATCATAATGACCCCTTTAATATTATCAATGTTCAACAGTTGTGCTACTTAATATTTTTTGTGGAAGCTGCAATACATTTTTCTCAGTTCTTAGTTTTTTGACAAATTGAAGGATATAAGAACAGATTTTTTTCTAACATTATAAATGTCTTTTACTGTCACTTTTGATCAATTTATTGCATCTATGCTGAACAGACGTTTTCATTTCTTTAAAAAAAATAGAAACAGAACTTACTAACCCCAGACTTTTGAACAGCAATGTAACTATTTTTGTCAGTATTAAATTAAATGTGTTTAATTATACTCCGTATTTATATTTACTTTATTAATTTTGCCTCGTCCGCTCTCTTCTGGTTAGGGTACATGTCATGCTGCCTTAGCATTTGGCCCAAATTAAATTAAATTATACATTATCAAATATATTGGCATTTTAATCATCTGACTGTCTAGTTACGACACGATTGGCCCCTATGTACAGTCCTTCGCCCTCATTGGCTAGTGGGTAACCTGTTGCCCCTCCCGCTTACATTAGCAAGACAATGATGTAGATGAGCAGCAGGCAGATGAGGATGAGGCAGAAGTTGACGAAGAGCTCCTGCATGTTTTGCTTGGCCTGCTGGGGAATCTCCATGGTGGACGCCCGCCGAATGGCCGCCCGCGTGATGTGCTGCACCTTCTCCATGTCGAGGAGGGGTGGGTGGGATGGATTAGTGTGGAAGAGAGAGGAAGAAGGACGGCAGTACCGCGAGGTGGAGTGGAGAGCCGTGTGAGGAGGAAGCAGTGCTGGTTGTTGTAGTGATGGAGGACGTGATTCGGTTGGCTGAGGGAAAGGAGCAGGAGATGAAAGAGTGAATGTGCATGCAGATTCACACGTGTCATGCAGGTTTGGTAGATATTTCAGAAGGTTTTGACACCATATAGCATCCTTAAAGCGATAGTTCGTCCAAAAATGAAAGATCTATCATCTCACCTTCATGTCGTTCCAAACCTGTATGACTGACTTCCTCTGCAGAACACAAGAGAAGATATTTTGAAGAACATTGGGGTCCAAATAACATGGACCTCTGAATATCTTATTTTGTGTTCTGTGGAATGGGTAAATCTACATGTAATCTGAATGCCATAATCAAATTCAAAAGTAATCTAAAAGTAGTCTGATTATATTACCTAAAATGTGTAATGTAATGGATTACGTTACTAACTACAATTTTTGCCATGGAATTTGGAATCCGTAACGGATTACAATTTGTAAGTAATTGTAAAAATTAACCCAGCTCTGCCTGCCTTTTTTTTTTTGGGGTGAACTATCACTTTAAAGGTCATTTCACATGATTAGCATTATAGAAATGTAAAAGGCTACTTGGACTTTCACATGTTTTTACAATGTAGCAAGAAATTGTCAGGTGTATACAGTGTGAACATGTACAGATTTGAACTTGGAACAGGAAAAACGTTGAATGCATCACAAAACGATTCACAAAATTTTAGTTAAAGAATGATGGTACTATGACTACAAAGAAATAGACAGAATTATGATGCATTAACGTCAAGATCTCTTCATAAATTTTAAATTATAAGTTAATAAAAAGTAAATAAAAACTTATTTTTAATCATTGCTTGTATTGTACTGAGACTAAATTGTTGTATGCACTACAATTCAAAACTTTGAGGTCAGTAGGATTTTTTTAATGAAAGAAGTCTCTTATGCTTAACAAGTCTGAATTTGGTGAATATTAAAAATACAGTAAAAGCAATAATATTGTGACATTACAATTACAAATTTTAATTAAAAAAATGAATTTCTTTTTTAATGCACTTGTTGTCAATGTTGAAAACAGTTGTGGTGCTTAATATTTTTGTAGAAACGGTCATTCTGTATTTATTTCAGTATACCTTGATGAATAGAAATGAACAGCATTTATTTGAAATAGAAATCTTTTATAACATTATAATTGTCTTCATGGTCTTTTGGTTTGATTTATTTCAATGTAATGCATTTTTGCTGAATAAAGCAATGCATTTCTTTAAAAAAAAAAAAAAAATAAATCTTACTGACCCCGAATATTTGAACCATAATGTACACTGTGAGACTTTTCCATTGATCATCAGCTGTGCTTTAAAAGGTCAGAGGTCAAAGTTGAAGTAGTTTGATCGGCACACACTGTCACTGACTCTTTATAGCATTCAATGCATTTGCCAACTTTGATGCAAGTCAGGGTTTTAGTCTCAAACAGAGCATGTCTATGCCCTAAATCGTTAAGTTTCAGATGTGTCACCTAAAAGAAAGATGCTTGACAGGTTCCTAAAATTAAAACCCCAGGGGTCTGGGTTCTTCTTTCAGAGTGAATTTTACAGTCTTACTCTTGCTTAGATGCACTTGTACAAAGCCTTGGTCTATCATACTTTGAGTGCAACGTCATTAACCTATTATTATTGAACGATTGCTAGATGAGACTTCAGCAGCACATATTGTGTCTTTATATAACTGTCTTTGCAGTGTAGGAGTGAGCTTATTTCTTTTCATTGTCCCGTCTTGGCTCTGAGTAAATAGAAAGAGGTGATTTCAGAAAGACGTTTTATATTGATGATTTTACATGTGTACAAAACAGCCTAAATCAGGATTTAGCACTTCGCCTCCAGAAAGATTAGATGAAGCCCTGTTTTCACTGAAAGATAAAGTGGCCTTGATTATAAATCTTTGCGTATTAGCAGAGCTCTCGTCTTAGAAGTGCTTATCTCGCTCTTTCAGACTGCTGCTCATTTCTGTCTCCTCAGATCTGTAGGGAGTTCTGTCTTGCGGATGCATTCGGCAGCATCGTGGACGCAGAAGCACCTGTGGCCTGTGTTCTCATTGGCCGCTGTGTTGCATTATCTGCTTCGCCCGCAGTAAGGTTATTCTTAGGAATGACCTTTGGCGGTCGCAATATTCCACTGAAACTGTGGCCAGGACTTACCCAGAATCCCTCAGGAGCCGGACTCTATTTTACCAAGTACAACTTATCACCAAGAGAGTCATGAAGGCCTGGGATGATGTTGTTGTTGTTGGATATGTAGGCCGTGACTACTTTAGCCTAATGGGAAACAGGATGTGTAGGATTGGTTGTTTTGGTAGTGACCTGTCTGATCGTGCTTGACAGAAACCTGTTCCTTTGCAACAACTTGTAAAGACATAAAACAGGCCTTTAATGGCATGCATGGTATGTTCAACAATTTATGCATTTCCACAATTTATGTTGTTTACATTGCTTCTTGACAGGAAAATGGTGTACTTCTTGTTTTAGTCTGTTCCACTTTAAATTAGGGATGGGTTACTATTGTTAACTACAACAACTGACTAATATGTAAGTCAGGTTGACTTGTTTTGGATTTTGCATTTTCTTTTTTCTATTAATATTTTTAGCAGCTACATCAATTTGACGTGCTTTCAGTGTGCGGTTTTTTAGATGTTTACTTTGTGTTGTTTTGAACACTTCACACCATGAACATTGGGTTTTTAAGTTGATTTACATTTGAAGTCAAATTAAAACTTGTCTTACAACACAACAATCCATCTTGTATATGACCCCTAAAAAAATACACCCAGCTGGAGTCATGTACAGCCAAACCCAGCCTAATTAAACACCTCCAAAAGTGTGAATATCACGACTGGAAGAATGGATATAACTGATCAAATCCTAAATGGTCATGGAAAAACAAAGTGGTGGCAATTTGTATAGTCAATATTTTTCTTTTTATTCTCTCTTCTAAATATGAGTGGGTGATATGACCAAAATCTTATATCACGATATGAGTAATTTTATTTCAAGGTAATATCACGATAGAGTTATTTTTGCTTTAAATAAGGTCTTTATGATATCTAAATTTTAGATACCGTAGAAATTTCAGAATTCTTGTCACCAGTGTCAATATCACAAAAAAAGTAATACTAACCTAAATTAAAAAGAAAAGAAAAAACTCCAGCTCACTGAAGACAAGTAAACAGTCAGCGATTAAATAAGAATTGGAAACTAATTACAAGCAATAGGACAAAAAACTACAATAGAACAAATAAATAAGAAATGCTACATACATTGTATAAAGTATAATCAAATGTATAAAATCACTGCATATTCTTTACTGTGTAAATTAAATATATATTTCTTCTTATTAAAGCTACAAAAGTGATTCAGTCAAGAGCAGTGAGAGATTTTCTCTCTTTTGTTGTTTGATTAACATAAAAGACAGAAAGCGGGAATATTAGACTGCTGTCACTTTAAGAGCTGCCCGGATCCAAAATACTGTTACACGTTTTCTTTCTCGGCAGTTTGCTTTCACTTAAAACCTAAATTACTGTGTTTACGAGGATGCTTGCAAAGCTGGGCATTTTGACACATAAAAGTGTGTATTTAATCTTTTCAAGGCCTAAAGCAACAAAAATAACTCCGTTCAAAACTCCCACACTCCATGACAGCGCTCAGAAACAGTGCGCGCATACAGCGAAATGAGTTCTCTTTCGCTGCTGATTGTGTTTCAAAATCACTTGTTTTTGAACTGCAATGCTTAAAACAATGCGCAAATTCCACGGTTGACCAATTCCTACTGATTAATCGGTTCTATTGTATATTAGCCACCCCTAGCTTTAATTATTTTGCTAGAAATTACTTTGTAACTTTTTTGTGATCTTTATGCAATGATTTTTAAAAATCCTCATCACGAACGGCTGGGATAATAAATCGAAGCATCGAGAAATGATTCTGCATCGATTCTGAGATTTTCCGAAGGCATCGCGTTTCTTTCGTAAATCGATTCTGAGCTTAGTTTTTAACAGCAGATGGCACTGCGTGCTTTAGAAATAGCCGTATTCTGCTTGCTTCCAGTTTCTTACACACACACCACTTGAACCCAAAATAATCATTCATAAAGTTCGAAAAGGTTGAAGCGAATTACAAGGATGTTCACAGTGGGCTGTGTTTACATTAATATTGCATCATAAAAGCCAACGTTCAAGTACATTTAACCACTTACATTACTCAGCCGAACGCACAAGCGCTCTTCTTCGTGAGCTTCTGAGTGTGCGGTTAAAAACTAGCCTAGAGTGCCATCTGCTGTTAAAAACTAAGCTCAGAATCGATTCGAGAGAGAATCACGATGCATTCCGAAAATCTCAGAATTGATCCACGAATCGCAATGCATCGATTTATTGTCCCAGCCCTACAAACAACTGGAAAATGTGTGGTAAATATCATGAATCCTAGCAATTTATTGATCAGAAAGTTTGGGAAACCTGTATACAGAGCTTCTTTAAGTCAACTAGTTGTTCAAACGACTCACCAAGACGACACTATTTAAATTATGTGATTTTGGACATCCCTACTAGAGTTGGCTGTTTTTGTTTAATGATTGAAGGAAAAACACCTGAAAAGTCTTAGGAAAATGGTTTGTTTGAAATGTTAATAATTGCAGGGTTTGCATTGTGTATTTTGCTCCGTATAAGTCTTAAGAGTCTCATCTCAACATGAAAAGCCATGTTTTCAATGTTTTGTCAGCGGAATGATTGACACTAAGCTACAGAAAAGTACAACCTACACTTCCCCACCGCTTGTTTTCATAGTGATTCTTGCGTCCAGCTGACCGGTGTCACTGAACAAAGACGTTAAGTGTACGAGTGACTGACAGTGAAGCCTGGAGTGGAGCAGTCCATTCAGGCGCCCAACACAGGCCGCACGTGACACAGAGGAGATAAACCCGCTGCTGGTGACGACAGGCTTTGGAGAGATGTTTGTCAACACCACAGGGCACCAGAATTCCAGCACTCTAGTTAGCCAGTCAGGAGTCATGTCCGCATTTACCGCTGGGAATGATAAGATCATTAACAATCTCCTTAGGAGGGTATCGAGCAGGTCATATGTTTAAGAGACCCTTCCTCGTATGGCTATTCAACTCTCAAGTCATCCTTTGGCAAAAAATGTCAACTCGTCTGCACTGAAATGCACAGAGAGAGCCAAGAAAGTTGTGAAAAAATAAAACAAGCGGAGCAAAAATAAGATGGAATCGCACAGAAGAAGGAAATCATCTGAAAGGCTGGTTCGGAGATTTCCCAAGCCTGTGCATGCTAATGTGCATATTTTTTACTCTCTGCTGTACAAATAAGTCGACGTGAGGCAGAGTGAGTGCACTCAGTTGGCCTCAATGCTGAACTTTCCATGATGGCATTGTGGAGCAATGCAGTGGGGGGGTTTTGTGGCTTGGTGATGCCTCTGAGAGCATGACTCTTAACAGGTAGGACAGTGCCTGTTCAACTGGCTTTAGGACAGACATTTTTGGCCATGCACACTAGGGCTGTGCTGATAGTCACATATTGATATTTAATATTTCACTTTATTGCTTTGAAGCTTCAGATCTTTTAGATAATGATATAATTTCTTACAGTTCAGTTAGTGAAGAAGTGGGAAGTCTGAAACAAGTGTTGTAGAGATGCAATACTGGACAAAAGTGAAGCAAATCAGTTTAAAAGTCATACAGCAGATTCATTCTCTCACTGAGAGAATTTCACATTTACTGCAGTTTCATTCAACTTAAAAACGTAAGTTCATCTGCAGCCTTAAACTTTTATAGATTATATAATTAACTTGGTTGTGCAAAACTTAACTTAAATTACATTAAACTGACTTTACAAAATCAAGTTCAATTTCATAAACTTATAAAAAAAACATATTAAACTTACTTTAATATATATATATATATATATATATACATGTATATTATTTTATGCAATACAAGATAGCATGAGCATTATATATGTAATATAAATTATATAAAATTGAGAATATTTTCTGATAAAATATCATTTTTAAATTTTTTATGAAAATAATATACATTTATAAAAAAGTATATATAATGTTTGGTGATATTATATATGTGACCCTGGAGAACAAAACCAGTCTGAAGTTACTGGAGTATATTTGTAGCAATAGCCAAAATTACATTGTATGGGTCAAAATTATAGATTTTTCTTTAATGCCAACAATCATTAGGATATTATGTAAAGATCATGTTTCATGAAGATATTTTGTTAATTTCCTACCGTAAATATATCAAAACTTCAGTTTTGATTAGTAATATACATTGCTAAGGACTTCATTTGGACAACTTTAAAAGGAGATTTTCTCAATATCTCGGCCAAATATGGACCTATCCTAACTATCCAAGCTTATTTATTCAGCTTTCAGATGATGTATAAATCTCAATATCAAAAAATTGACACTTAAGACTGGTTTTGTGATCCAGGGTCACATATTTCACATACTTTACATGAAATTATTAAATAAATGTTACGGATTATTAGTTAATTTAATAGTAAAATAAAAGAATGAATTAATTCTACATTGATTAATAAATTCATGATAATAAATTATGCAATCATATATTATTATGAAGGTGAACATGTGTTTGCAGAATAATAAGGCAGTTGCTACAAATGTTGGTACAAATACATATAATGTATATCATTTTTGTGCAAGCATCATCATTTCTTTCGTGCATCTTTATTGCTTCGATATTTGCCTCAGTCTTATGCGAGAGCCAACACAATTGGATGCGTGCAAGCTGTGGTGTGGTTCCTGCTTTAACGGACTTCTGTATGCAGTTAACCTTTCCTCCTCTGCAGGGCCGCAGTGAATGCAGCGAGCTCATTTGTGCTGAAATGAAGGGCTGTCAGAGCTCCCAGCGGAGTGTAAATGTGGGGTGTTGTGTATAGGTCGGAGACAGTCTAGGTCACGTCTCCCCGATTTGTGTCGGGAGAAGAATGAGTCTGGCTCGCTGTTTATCGTGAGCACACAGAGCGGCACAGACCCAAACATCAAAACTCTGATTAATCTCTGACTCTGTGCATTCGGACACATCGTCCACTGCTGTGTAAAGTTATGAATATAAAATACAAAGGGTAACTGATCTGATTATTTATCACAAAAATATATTAACTGCATTGTTGCTTGTGGAAATGCATATGCACGGAGCGTTCAATGGTAAATAGCCTCATCAACTAAATCATATTAATAAAGACCTTTGAATTTAGGCTGGTTTTGGATTCAAGTGACTCCATTCTCTTTTTTTCCACAGGTGCATTTGTAAAAGTCAAACTGTTTTTAACTTGACACGGCATCCTAAGAATGCTATGTTTATGAAGAGATGCTCATCAAACAGCACTAGACACAATAGTCAAATGTGGTAACTGTCAAGGATAAAATCTAGATAAACTAATCTTTGACGACTAGACAAACATTGTGGGCCATCTTGAAACTGATATACAAGAAAATGTTACCTACCTAAATCTGTAGATGGAGAGTATTGGGATTCAATCCTGTTGCTCTGGTTTTAGAGGAAAGGAGGGTCTGTGGCAGCAATGTGGAGTTCGAAAGTTTATGGCAGAAAAAGTGGAGGGGTGGAGTAGAGGAGGAGAGAGAAAAGAAAAGAGATGCGTAGGAGGGGTCTGAGCTCTCGCTTTCTTTCTCTAATTTTTTTTATTTGGAAGTAGATTTACAAGCCTTTATCCTTACATAAGAGCAGCATACCAAAATTAGGTTTTAATGGATTATATAAGTATTTATACGATTATTTATTTATTAAATATTACATCTTTATTAAATCTTAAATTGGAAGCAAAATTAAAATAAATTTATCCAGGTTTAAAATAATATTACATTTATATATACAGTATACAGATATATATATATATATATATATATATATATATATATATATATATATATATATATATATATATTTTT